GGAGGGGTTGGCGAGGGTGTGTATACACTGGTCTCCAGGGTGGTGGAGACCACGCGCAAAGGTACATAGGCCTACGCAAGCAAAAAAAACTGAGTGAGAGAGGTGCCTGGGGTTAAATACCCTGTCTGTTTCGGAAATTCTGTTCTAGTGGCTTTCCTATTGGAGTTAATAAAACATGTGACAAGTCAGCCCCTAGCAAAATTAGACAGTCTTAAACTGACGCCTCTATCCTGCCATGCATAAAAGTGAAGCGATTTTCCAATGACTCTGTTTCTGGCTTAATTTGAAACGCCTAACCCCGTTTCGATGGTGTATATGTTGGGTTTGAAAGTAGACAAAACAAGGTCACCAAATTGTGGTAGTTGAACTACGATTAATGACTGACTAATTTTCGCCTAAAGTAAATCGAGAATGCCAAGAGTTGAATCGGTTGATTCAAGGGTGAGAGAGAAAGAGAAAGGGGGAACAAAGAATAAAAAGGAAGACCTATTGATCAAGCAACCTGCATTTAACATATACCGGTGTGTGCGGATATATTGGAGTCGTGTTCACCATCAGGCAGAGACGAGTGAAAATTGACATTCTGCAAATCGAGCTTGAGGCCCATGGAGGAGGGTGAAATGCCGTGAACATGAGGTCATGGATGGTGATCCTCCAGTAAAGTGCTCCTAATTTGTATTAGACACCAATCGACGATGATTGTTCCATCTAAGAACTACTGCCCGGGTTGGTTGACTTGTGTTTTACCTTCCAAGGTAGCGGTGATTATAAGCCATTGTCCATTGTGGCGACGATTTTCACTCTCGTCTGCACGAGAGCCTCTGACTTTTAGGCATAATTAAATTAAATTATTGCCCCGTAAATGTCTTCTTCGAGTTATTTAAAAAAGAATTTTCCCTTCTAGATAAGAGAATAAGACACGGCCCTTAAATTACCTGGATTATTGTCCCAACTTGTGGAGCATTTATGCAAATTATTACGATCTATAAACGTGGCATCTTACTTTTTCCGCTAGGTTGGGGGGGGGGGGGGGGGGGGGGGGGGGGGGGGGGGGGGGGNGGGGGGAGGGAGGGAGAGAGAATGGGAGGGGGGGGAGAGCACAAAGACTACCTGAGCGTTAAAGGGATTTCAATTATGACCTTGAGATGCTAAAACAGGCCAATTGCATGTTATTATTAGAGTGATATTGCAGACGTCAATAATGGGAATGCCATTTCAATGAGAGAACTTGTTCGATGAATTTTTTTCCTCGCAGTAAAATAACTTTCTGCTTTGGTAGAATTGCATACGAAAATGTGCAGCCTCTACATGATGATAGTCCAGAAAATATATTGCCTGTTAGTTTGACGGATGGCTCCTACTAGATTCGAATTACCTTGATTATGAGGAATGTGGAATTGAATCTCAAATCTTGTCAAGATTCCATGAAATGGCATTTAAGTATCAATTTGAATTAATAGGGTAGTTTCATCTGACATCTCTAGTGAGAAGCTTTAATTATGTCAACTCCAGAGTAACTCGTCAATCGACGTGGAGGAGGGGGAGGGGTCCGGGTATGAAATTTCCATTTGAATGATGAGCATAAGATTTGAAATTGTGTTATTCGTTTTGTTTTCTTTTTAGTGCCGGCGTTGGTCGAACTGGAACATACATTTGCATTGAGAGTCTAATTCGTCAGTTGGATGCGGAGAATCAAGTGAACATTCGTGGCTTCCTCGAACACATCCGTCAACAACGCATGAAGCTCGTTCAAACTGAGGTGGGCTCTTTATTCCAACTCACATTTTGCCACAAATCTTGTTGGTGACAGGTTTAGCTATATTAGTGGGTCGGTCATTGGATGACACCAATGCGCTCTACCTCACAGGTGGTCATGCCAACCGTTGTGTTGTTGAATGTTGATAGTGTGGGTTTGTGTTTGAAAGAATTAGGTGGGGTGACAAGAGTAGTGTAAGCTTTTGGAACGCACCATATGAAAGGCAGGGCGAAGCTCACTGGCTAGCAATCTAACAGGAGGGGGAGGGGGGGGGCTAAACCAAGGCTGTTTCAACAACGAAAGCTTGGTTTCAAACTTCTCGAGTTCTTTATTCCAATGAATGCCCAACTCGGAAGCTTTTATTCCCCCCTCTCTCCCCCCCCCCCTCCATCACGTTTAGTGGAATCACTTGCAGAATTTGAACAGCAAACTTACGAAATCAATTTTGGTTGCTTTTTTTTGCATTTCTGCAACTTCCAGTTTGATTGATCCAATCTTTGTGTGTTTGGAGGAATTGTGTGTCTGTATTCGTTCGACATTCTTTTGGCTTTCAATTCATTTCTTCTGTCTTGTTCTATTTTTTTTTTCAAAAATGCATTATTCATTTTGAATTAGAGGTATTCTATGAGTTGTTGTTTTACTCACACTCTGAAATTCTGTTGGTCGGATCTTCTAGATTTAGCTGACTTTTGCTGATATCACTATGGTTGATAATCGTATTCCTCTAAAGTCATTGTGTTAAACCTGTAAAGTGTGGAGCGAATGTGTAGTTGGCCTATATATACTGCACTCTTCACTTGGAAGTACTTATCTACTTATAATTTAATTTCAGTAGTGCAATTGATTGATATCTTTTCTTCCCTTTTTCCCCCCAAACAGCAACAATATGCGTTCATCCATGATGCCCTAAGAGAGTATTTACTTTGCCCGAATCACGAAATGTCGGCAATGGCTTTTCCGACTTATGCTCAATGTCTTCGAAGAGCTGACGCTAATGGAGTAACTGGTTTACAGAAACAATTTGAAGTGAGTTCTCTTCACTTTTATACTACTACTAATTCATGCATTTCAGTAGCGGTTCATGCCAATCTTCTCTAACTCTTTATAAATTTGCTTTATGGCTGTAGAATTGCTAGAGTACGACAGTTATACCTGTAGTGTTCTCTTATACTTGGAGACCTATTTCAACCCACCCCACCCCCCTCATTCACCTCCAGCTTACACTTATTTTAGGCTTCTTACTGATTTACGTCTTAGTAACTGGTAATTATTTCCTTTATCCATTTCGTTCGTTGCTTGATGATAGTGTTCTGATGTCCTGACACAACTCCGTTAGCTGAATTAAGTAGATAGTGCACTGTACTGTATCTTCCCAAACTGCTCCAAAAGGAACACTTTTGCACCAATCGCAACTCTTTAGGTTGGCAAACAAGTCAGTCATTCTCAAGAATCCTTGTCTCAAAGTTGTTTATCATGTGACCAGATATTGAAAGCCTAGTTTCCATTGATGGTAACGTTCGAATATTCGGAGTTATTTGCTGGAACAGGAGACTACAGAACAACGTAATAGAGAAAGGAGATATCGGAGATCCGAGCTTATGCCAACTTACAAGAGTCGTATTCGAATTGTCTGCTTATAGATTAACATTTTATGTTCACATTCGATTGAATCAGTGAGAATTTTGTTGTAATCTTCTGTTGAATGTGAAAATAAAGCCGGCGCTTGGTCGAATTCCTACTCGAATAGTCAGTTAGCCTGTATTTCCCATGAAACGCGTCACTCATTTGACCGGTCAGCATGCGAAGGTCTCACAATTCCAATCTCATCATCAAAATCCCGCCGGCATTTGCAATTTCTCCTCCCATACCCCTCCCCTCCCACAATCGGTCTAGTCTCCAATGCCCTAGCATGTGTGTGTACTCCTTTTTCACTCGGGCGTGGGAGAAAAAAGGAAGACGCTCCAGAAACGCCAAGCGCTGCTTTATTAATGCCATTTTATGACTCATCATTATCAGCATTCATTGTCTTATTCAAAGTCCGTATTTTGCTCGCCTCTTTAGATTTGCACTGACTACATGCCTCGTGTGTACGAGTTCACAGAAGCCCGTAAACCGGTGAATATCCCGAAAAATCGTCTCTCTAGACGTCTCCTTCCAACAGACTTGCGTCGAGTTGCCCTGCCTTCTGAAGGTAGAGCGGAAGGAGCAAGTTACATCAATGCTTCAGTTGTCCAAGGATATCATCGATTGCATGAATTTATCGTCACTCAGCATCCTATTCCTGATTCTACGGAGGCGGACTTTTGGAGGATGGTTTGGGATAAGAATTCACCTCATGTTGTGGTTTTGTCTTCCACGGATTCAGAAAGTGGAGAATTCCCAGACTTTTGGCCTACCAATGCTCACGATGTAAGTATTCCATCTCCTCATAAAAATTATACACTACTGGTAAGACATAAGTAGTATGTTAATTTTGATTTTAGCCGCTTGAAATTGGATGGCTTCGAGTTGGATTCTGTTCTAGTGAAACTGTCAGTGATGGCTTAACTCGCTATGAATTCCTTCTTTCTTCATCGCGGGAAGACTATGCTCTTACCTGTCAGCTGTGGCGTCTTCATAATTGGGCCAGCAACACTAATGATGAATCGGCTTGTAGTGACTTCTTAAAGCTGCAATCCGTTCTTGTCTCGAATAGCGCTTCTACAGCTAATGGATCTACTATTGTTGTGGATGAGTAAGTTTAATATAAATTTTCTTCCAATGACCCAGCAATTATTCTGTTCCAACGAACTGATTTTAGTCTACAAGTTAGAGTAAACGAGGGAGGTTGTTTCATATAGCATCTAGAAATTTCGACCATTATATGCTTCTGGTTTTGGGATTTTGGCCATTTCTTTACAACTCCAAGATATTGGACATCTCCTTAGTCCCTGTTTATACACCATAGGAGAAATTGTCACGCTTTTGGTAATAGTTGATATGACAGATCCTTTACATTGCTTGACTACCAATTATGATCATAAATTTTAAACCTTCAATATCCATTGGCTGCTTAAAACCCATTTGCTAGGGTCCACTTTGTCATCCTTTCTCTAGCCGTACCCAAGGAATTGCGGATTAAATCATCGTCTGACATAGTTGTCAAAATTATGGGCTCTCCCCTTTTGGGTGCAGCTTTAGCTTTTGAAGGTTAACTTAGTCGAAGTATACCTTTGCTGCCCTATTGCAGTCTTATTTTGAATTATTAGGTTATTCTAAGGTGTTTCTGTAAAGATAAGTGTAAAAAAATCATTCTCCCTACCGGTTCTCTTCTAGTTACGGTGGAAATAGAGCTGGAATCTTCGTTGCTGTCAATTTCCTGATCAACCAATTCAATCTTTCCGGAAATATTGATGTCTACTACATTGTCAAGATGCTCCATCTCCAACGAACTGGTATCTTTCAGTCTCCGGTAGGACATCCCACTAATTCTTGATTTAAATGTCCTATGTGGAACTGATTACATTTAATTATTCTTTTTTTGTTCGTTTCAGGCTGATCTTGACTTTATTTATTCCATAATGGAGGAATTCTTGTTGGAGATGCAGCAACAGGATGACAGCAGTTCCTTCCTAGGAGGTTGTAATGAGACTTCATCTTCACCTGGTTATGCCAATTTGAGCCTTTTTAACGGCAAATCTCTCTTGTCCCCACTTACCACTTCGAATTCCAAATGTTCCAGTGCAAACGGTGACGTCCTTCCCCCTCCTAAATCAACCACCCTCTTTCCTCTTATTGCCTCTGTTGAATCTGAGGATGAGAAGATACTGGAGGAAGATGAGTTGAGATCAACACATGCCATGGTTCCTGCAACCGAATCCGCCCTCGAACTTCATTCCCTCTCCTCTGACGCAACGGCTGGTGACTCCTCGGTTAACCCTTCCCTGATCGGTGTCCTAACCCCGGTGAAGCGACCTCTTACCAATGGATTCGTTGTGAAGGAGACTATCTTGCCACATCCTCTCCCTCCACCCCCCAACCAATCACCCCCTACATGGCCAGTAGATGATATTGATGGATCAGATGATCCCACTCCCACTACATCTCTGGTTATTGAGGGGGGTGAGAGTAGTTTCCACCTTAATGGAACTGTAGATGAAATGACTGTCTAAGCGCCGTAACCCCCACCCTTATTCTTTTCATCCACTTCATGTGTTCTTATTCATTATCTGCTTCATTTTACGCAAAATTGTAATGAAGATTCATTTACATATTATATATATATACATATAATGCTAGTAAGGTCAAATAGGTGTTCACTTTTGATTTAGCTTTATGCTTCTCTCCACACCTTTGCTATGACTAATTTACCGATTTGTTGATAGATGTCTTCCTCTGTATCACCAACTCTTGGAGCACCGTCCAATGGTTCTGGGAGTGTTTCTCGTCAGCCTCCACCTGTTAGGTTGCCAGTTCCTAAACGTCCCCCACTGACCCCCTCTGCAATATTCACTCTCATTCAGACGATTAAGGAGACTGGAAGACGTCTAGGGATGAGTGATGTTGCTGTGGCCACAGCTTGTACAATCTTTCATCGAATGGTGCGTGTGCTCACAGTAGGAGAGGAGACGGGTCCGTTTGCGAATGTGGCTGCTGGGGAGACAGGAGGAGGAGGGGATGGCGCTCCGCAAGTCGCTCAGGCCCAACCCGCTACCTACTCGGCAACGAATGATAACCCCTTGCCCTCCGCTATTGATGGATCGATTAGGTCAAGTCTGGGTGATGTGGATCCTTATGTGAGTTTTTTTTTCTCCTTAATTGACCTCAAATTGATATTGCGATGTTTCTTCTGCATAACAACAAGCTTCATATTCTTTTTGCGAACTTTTCATTTACCTTCGTTTGTTTATTTTTAATGCCGTTACAGTATAACCTAATTGCTCAATCCTTGTTGAGTTTATTGTCACATTAAATGTGCTATTCTCTCATTAGCAAAGATATTAATCTGGTCCAACTGGGAGCTTTAAATTGAACCCGGTTTGTTTCGTACTACTAGGATTTGGGGTATCTTAGTTGTTCTTCTAGAAATCTCCGGAAAAAAAACGATCGTAGGCTGAAGGTGGGACCTTGCATCTCCATTCTAATTCGAACGGGAAATGTGAAAACTGTCTAGTCTTCAAGAAATCTCTTCTCATTAATCGAGCCTCTAGATTCTAATCTAGCCTCTTGATAGTTAATTAAGAAAAAAGGCCCTTAATCTTGATTTGGGCTTTAATATCCATATTTCGAATTGAATAGAACCTATGATTTATTGTTATTTGGGGAATATCCACTATGGTGCATGATTTGGAATGCATATCGAATGGTTTCCTGAATAAAAAATAGGGAATGGCCCCGTCTTATTCAAAATCTCCTGCAATGAGCTTTTTTTATTGATTGCTTTAATGGAAATTCGACTTTAATAATCCTGTCCAAAAGATAATCTCGCCAGAATGGTGAATATATCATATAGCCTGCCATTGAATATAACCTTTTATTATTATCATATCAAATGGCAGGCGTTTTGATGGTTTTCATTAGCCCTTTAGTTGACTTCAGGCTAGGGTGCACCACGTGGAGGTAAGTCTATCGCACACCCCCAGAATATAACCTAAAGATTGATGGAGGCATGGATTGACGACTTCAAGCGAGCTTAATTTATAAAATGTCATGCTTGACTTTGTAGACCATGGCTATGGCATGCATCAGTCTGGGTGCCAAGGTACAGGAAGAACACCAGCGTCTCCGTGATGTTATTGTCGCTTACTACAGGTATGCAATTTTAATCCCTCATTCCTAAGCACCTCTAAGTTGCGCCTTACTCTCAAATTTTTCTCCCTAGAACTCTCCATAAGACGAAACGTCCTCCACTCGAAGTAGGCGATGACTACGATCGCCTTCGCAAAAGTCTGGTCAACGCCGAGCTCTTCCTCATGCGTCTCCTTGGTTACGGGGTTAGAACTCGGGCAGATCTTCCGCATGCCTACCTCCTTCACTACCTCTCGGCCCTTCTGCATTGGATTGGAAAGGGCATTGTTCACCCTCCTACAGACGGTCGTGGTGGTGACTCATTTGACCCCTCCGAGGTGTCCTATGCGAATAATAGCGAAATGGCCTTGGCTAGACTCCCTGGTTTGGCTTGGGGAATCCTCATGGATTCATATCACGCTCCGTTGTGTGTGGATTACGCACCAGAGTATATTGCGGCGTCGATTCTGCATTTGTCTTTGAGAATTGCTGGAGTGGAAGTTCCGGGAAACAGGCATTCCGATGTGGCTTGGTGGCAGGTACATTTCTTACCTGCTCTCTACTTCTTTGATAAAATCCCCTTTCTTCAAAAAGAAACAATTTAACTTTGCGCAACGGAAATGGTGCTTTGTTTACTCATGCAAATTTTAGTACACTTCTCGACTGTGTGTGATTGGTTGGTTAACTCATTAGGTAGTAAATTGTTGCTGTTCATGGGAACTTTGATTTGCTGTTTCCTCTGCATCCGCAATTTGAACGTACCAAATATTTCGGCCTGATCTGCTCATTAACCTCGCGTATTCATGTGAATGCTTGTCTGTTTATTTGCCATCAATTGCACAATACACTACCCCCACTTCTTAGTTCCCAAAAATTATTTTTTTGGGTGCTCACAGTCCCACCTTATTGTTATCACACTTGTCGTTCGCAGCACTAATAACCAAATAATGACACGAGATTGGCATAATATACATCATCGGTTCTTCGTCGAGCGAAAATGGAGGG